AGGAAGGAGGTGGATGGAGCAATAGCCGCCGTTTTTATAAGAAGCGAGGCTGTCGAACGGGGAAAGAGAAAAGGAGTCGGTTAAATACGATGAAATGGATGAATGTGGAGGCCCTTGTCTCTTTCTCCTCATGTTTCCTCTCCCCCTTCCCCCTTCCCAGGCAACCGGCACAAGCGGATGAACGCCATTCGTATCCGCAAAGAGAACCAGGTGCGTCATGCCTCTGTGTTCCTATTCTCTTGCGGGGACATGCGCCCACTACCCTCCTTGTTTTGATGCTTCTTCTTTTTCCTCCGGCCCATGGATCCTTTTTCCCTCTTGGGGCTGTAAATTATACCTTTGTCCCTGTCTGGGTTGAGCTTAAACCCCACTCTTGTATTCCTGTCCACCTCACTGGAACTCTGCTTTTTTTCACTCTCCACTTCTTAGGTCTATACAGCCCTGGAGAAGAAGGCTTTAGCGCTCATTCAGCTCGAGGAGAACAAACAGAAAGAAGCGACCTTACTGGCAAATTTCCGACAAGCATTGGAAAAGCGGAAAGAGAAAGAGGGGGAGGGGGAAAATGTGGACGAGGTTTGAATGGAAGACATGTGCACAAGTGATTGATGAAGGGTGGTAGAAGGGTAAGGCGATAGGGATGCTGAACGGTTTGGAGGTAGCACCACCTCGACCGAATGCAGATCCGTGAGCTTTAGATAGCCATGAAAGAAAAGTGCGAATTGTCTTGGCACGTTTTACGACGTAGCGTCTTTGTAGCCTTTGATTATTTCTTTAAGTGACGCATGAGCCGGGTGGTTTTTATTTGAAAAGCCACATAGCCATACAAAACAAAGTTTGGGTGGAACGATCCCTTGTTGCTCCCCAGGCCCATGCTGCCACGCAGCCGTGCCATTTGCTTTCTCACACCACACAATTATTCTACAGGATCAACCACCTGATCAGAATGCGACATGTGATTTTTTTTTGGTTTTTTGACGTGGCAATTGAAAGTTTTACGCAAAGTATCGGGTACAATAATCACGCAAAGTATGCCACGTTTTTCGACCTCAAAACTTCAAGATGTCAACGTTGTTGACAACCGAGCTTTTCGATAGATCAACCTTGCCACAAGAGTCTACGAAGCCTGCATACAGGACCGGCGGCTTCAAGCGAAGTGGGAGACAATGTTCTTGTGCGCATAGCAGCGGTACAATCTATGTCGCGCGGTTGGTGCGTAGGCATAAGTGGGTTTATTGCCCCTGAAATGCTTTCCGACACTGGCGGCGGGAGAGATCCTCAACATGACATATCGTTGCACTTCCAGACAACCAAGGCACCCACCCCTCGTGCATGATGTCTACCACAAAACGTTAATTGATATGAATGAACACCATATTGTGCACACGGGCCTTTCGGATGGATCGTGGCGACCAAAAAGGGCCTGGCTCGGATTTACGTGTTGTGGTGACGGACATCGATCTTGTTCCGTCCCCTGTACGTGGCACTGACGCCTATCACTGAAGCCTATTACTATCAATATTTCCCTGCCATGACACAAGCGACAAAATGGACCTAGAGAGCTGTCGGGATTTCATAATATTTCTGACACATCATACTCGGATTCGATTCAGTATTTTCATGAAAGACAGTCCGACTCCCCCTTTGGAGCACCTGCCTTCAGAACACTTGAGTGCGGCGGATGCCATCGCACACAACGACCGCCGGGATAAAATGCCTCCCAAACCATACTTAAGCATCCATCGCTTACCCCACCCCCCGGCTCCATTAATTTTCGTCCTTCGCCTCTCCACCTTGCTTCTGTGCATGGCCGCACTTTTAATTATTTCCTCTTCCACGCCGGGGATCACTGTACTGATTCAAGGACTTATTTGCATCTTTGGCGCCATTTTGTCTTGCCAAGCGGCCGCGTACCTTGAAAAAATCCACTCTGGGCTGGAACAACAGCACGATGCAGAGATTTCCGTGGCCCTGCGCTCAGGCCCCAAGCGCATCTCCTTCGTAACCTCCCCTCCACGATCGACGACCAGGCTGCCCGTAACGCGGATAACCTTCCCACAAGATCTCGCTCACGCAGAAGAGAATGGGGAAGAGAATCATCAGAATACTTCACTCCACCACATGGCGGGGCGTAGCAGGGGAAGGGAGGCGGAGGAAGGGAGATGGAAGGTGGTGGAGGAGGAGGAGGTGGTCGTTCCCCAGGGGGACCACGGCGTGGCAGGACAACATGGGTGTGGGTGGGGGCACTACCAGGACTATGTGGAGGACAGGGAGAAAGGACGGGGTGGGGGAGCTGCATGGGATCAGGGAGGGGAGGATCCAGTCCTGCCACTCCCCGCGCCGACAGTCCTGCCTCCTTCCTTCCCCTCCCTCCCTCCCTCCCTCCCTTCCTCCCCCATAATCGTCTTTCCCGCGATAAGCGATTGACCTTCCTCCTCTCTCTATCCGCCGTCCTACTTTTCGTTGACGCCCTCTGGGTCTTTAGCCTCGCGGGGACCGCTTTCTCTCGACCTCCCTCCTTCCCGCCCTCCCCCCCTGCCTCGGATGCCCCTTCCTCCCTCCGAACGCGGGGGAGAGGAAGGGGCGGGGAAGAGGGTATTCTCCGGGTAGTCTTGCTCTGTGTGATTGGAATCCTGTGCCTCGTTGCCAGTGGGGCTGCCGTTGGTGCTACCTTGCGTGTCAGATTTTATGGGGGACTGAGGGGATGTGAAGGCGAGGTGGCCGTGGAAGGGAAGGAGGCGGGAAACGCAGCACGGCACCGGCTTTCGTCTGGATCGGGGATGAAGGAGGGAGGCGCGGGAGCCAAGGAAAAGGGGGAGGGAAGGAAGCAGGACCAGGAGGAGGAGGAGGGGAGGGAGGACGGGGCGGAGGCGGGGGGGTGGACAGTCATTGGGATTCATGACGGACCTATTCCCGGCGAGGAACGTGCAGGAGACGAAAGAGAGGAGGAAGCGAGGGAGGGCGGGAGGGAGGGCAGGCAGCTGTCTTCGTGCCTGCAACTTCAAGCGGCCTCGGGCCCGGCTTTCCCCTCCCTTCCCTCTTCCCTCTTCGCCGGATACCCGTTCCGCGTGCCGTTCGAGGGGAAAGCCGCAGCAGTCCAGGGACGCCCCTCCCCCGCCTTCGCAAGCAACACAACCGCCACACCCTCAGCAATCGCTGCACAAGCAGCCTTGGGAGCGTGTGGACCGGGAAAGAAGGGGAGGATCCCCTCCAGCCGGCTGCCCCCGCCTTGTCGCCAGCGTTCATCCTCCTGGGAGGACGACGCAAAGCCCGCCATGGCACCAGTAGCCTTGGTTAAGGAAACTTCACCCCGGGATACCACCAACCTTCTGTATGGGGCCTCCGAGGATATTCGGGAGGAAGAAACGCTTGCTGCTCCTACCCCTCTCTCGTCTCACCGCTTCCCACGGAGCGCCGACACCTCAACCGTCCAGGAGGGGCAGGACGCTCCAGGCACGCCCACCCTCTGCCCCGACCTCGCCCTTGGCAGCCTTGGGCCCAAGAGTCTCCGGCGCTCCTCCTCTTTCGTCCTTCCCACCTCTACCACGCGCGGTGAACTCCCTCTGCACCTTCCCCCACCCCCCCGGTCGGCCTCCTTCGTCCTCGCACCCGCCCCTTCCCCTGGCAACAACCAAGGCATGCGGGCTCCGACCGCTGAAAGGGAAACAAGGGGGCTACCACTGGCGGTAGCCATGGATGCACTGTTAGTCATGCGCGTCCCGCTACGGACCTGAGGAAAATGCACGCCTCGACCGTCACCAGCCGTTAACTGTTTGAATTTGAAAAGAGAAAGCCACAGCCTCCACCGATGGGCGTTGGGAGTGGTGGGGTACGGGTGGAGTGTATATGTCTGTGAGCGGAAGGCTGGAGCCAGCGCCTGGAGCTCTTTGTCTTTGGGAATGGGATGTCACCTGGAGGTGATCGGTACGCCGGAACCCCTGTGACGGGCAACAGCCTATACTCGACGTGCCCCGGTCGGGGTGTGACTGTGGAATGAGGGTCTCCCCACCTCAAAGCATGCGACGCCCGCCTTGTAAAGAGCACGGGTACTTTGAAAATAAAAGGGGCGTCTGACAGATACTCCACGGCCCAAGGCTGGTGACCAGGCAAGGCCTCTAGGTTGGGCTCTGTCCTCCACCCCCGTCGCCGACGGCTTTACTTTCACTTTTTCTTACTTTATTTCACATCTCCGTCCACGCTCTCTGGGTGCTTCTCGTCTTGTGCCCGCATTGCCCGGTCATCCCTCGTCATCTCTCCAAGCCCTCCCCACCCCCCCTCCCCTCCGCCCTCCTGCTCCATGTACGTCAGTAGGCGCTTCCGCATCAATGCATGCACCATCCTAGCCCCGTCCGCTGCCATTTCCAAGGCCCTTTCGCTCCCTCGAGTGTCCAGACGACCCTTCTGCCATACTTGCGTGACTTCACCCGATACCGGCATCAAGGCCAACCCTACCACCCCTCCCTCCTTCCCACCCTCCCGTCCGCCCTCCTCCCCGCCTTCCTCCGCCGCGGTCGGGTCTACGCGGACCCTCCATTCCCTTTTACCCTCGCTGGGCGTGAAAGCCACCACTTCACAGGACGCGACCAGCCCGAAGAGTTCGATACCCGCCTCGGCGAGTGCCAGGGAGGCGCAGGAGATGGCCGCTCCGACCTCGCCCCCGTCTGTCTGCAAGACTAAGACGAAGACTTCCACCACGCTTTTGGGCAGCTTTGCCAGCTGCACTGACGCCTCCAAGGCTTGCGAGACCGTCCGGGAAGCGGCACGTTCCTCGTCCCGTTCGGGGCCCTCCCCCCCCACCCTCCCCCCTCCCTCCCTCCCTCCCTCCCTCCCTCCCTTTTCCTTCCCCGTCGGCCTGCGGGCCCGGAGGGCGAAGGGAGAGTACCTGAAATCGCATATAAGTTTACCTTCGTCACTGAATTCCACGTCTTGACGTGCTTTGGGTCCGTACACCGCAACGAGCACTTTGGTATGCTCCATTTCCAAATATGCCGAGCCAGAGGCCTGTTGATATAGGACGAGAAATAGGAGGACGCAAGGAAGGACAATCAATTGAGCGCGTGAAAGAAAGCTATAAGAAGGCGTCCTGTAGCCAAGGGAGGAATAAAAAGACGCGTGGAGGTCTGCATCCTTTCTTTATAAGAGGAAGTACAGGGAATGGAATGGCACGTACATGACTGACCGTATTCAGGTCTATAAATACAGGCCGAAGCTGGTTGTAGGCCCGTCCATCCATGCGAAAAGACTGTCGTTTAGCAAGAAATGAGCGACGCTTCTTTCTTCGACAGCTGTTTGCCGAAATGAGGAGTGCAAAATACAGAGGGATGCGAGCTATGAAACATGTCAAGCTGCCTTTACCTCGCTTCTCGCCGGTGATGGTCCTGTATCATCCTTTTTTCTTTGCGCTTGAATTTCGCTGTTGGTTTGTAGCGTGCTGACTTGTGTCTTCGTGGCGACGCGAGGTGTGTAGCAATTATACATAATGCCAACCCCTGAGGCTTGTGCAACCAAGGGAGGAGGTCAATGGGAGGGTTATGAAGGCTTTACAAGAAGGCCTTAAAAAACGACATAAGTTGAGCCGTGAGTAGCTTAAGCCTTCAGATTGCGTCACACATGCCATGCGAGCGCCTCGCGAGATCGTACGGGTGGTTGCTTGCCTGGAAAAGCAATTATGCACGTGTTGTCCTTATGCAGTACGATTGAGGATAGCGTGATTGCCCTGATTCGCTCCCATACACATCACGTCCGACTGGTAGTTATTCATCAATGGAGTGAACATCTGAGATTGTACCATCCATCCTGAGCAGCTTCTGCATAATTCAATGGGTGGCGTTTCCGTGCTTTCATGGACTGCCATGTTTGAAAAAATGACAAGCTCTAATTCTTGATGGAGTAGCTTTGAATTGGCAAACATCGAGGAGGTTAATACATACGACCCACATAAATATCAATACAACACATTAATGGCCTCATACAAGTCATATTTAATACGGCATTATTTGTTGATCTCGTAGAATTAACATTTAGCTGCTCAAAATATTCCTTAGCAACCCGTTTTAAACATGACAATGACAAATCATTAATTGCTCTGAGCGCCTTGTGCCTACGAATTGTAACACGCTTTTTCGCACAGACCTCTACAGTACAGTATCGACCAAAAACTTTCCCGACCTCGCCTGTAATAATGAAGAGATTGCAGATATATAACTTCACAATCAAGTTTCTTGACAAGAGTACACAGACTGAGAATTTAAATGTGAACCCGTATTGCGAGGTGCAAGATAATTGATCTGATATCGTAATTACCACTTGGAGCGAAATCAGTTGAGGTCTAACATGCAAGAAGCCTGCAATCATATTATCTGCCAATAATTGGCGCTTTGTGTCAATGAAGAGGTTTTAATTGTTTTTGTTTCCCTTTGAAAACTATGGAGAGACCGAATGACGGAAACATTTCACAAGGGAAGATGTGAAGATTATCGATCTCGTCAGCACCAAAGCATGATAAATTCCCATGGGAAAAGTCAAGACAACATATTTCGTCACATTCCGCGTCGAGGGCGTAAGCTGTCTTTTTACATTCCGTTTCGAGTCTTGGTAATTTCTTCAACAACGCAGCCACCCACGTGCCTCATACTTGCAGGATGTCCCGGTGCCTCGTTTGTTATTCATCATGCGTACATTAATTTGCTCGCGGAAAGTACAAGCCATTAGTATATTAATCAACTCCCTTCATTCCCCTTTTTTAAAATTCTTAAATGCTATCTACCCTCAAAGCTGATAGCTTCAAAAGCTGTACGCGGCCCCGTGAACGCCCTAGACTCCGAGGGCTGTGCTGTATTGTCTTTTAGCATGCCACTCGTCTAACTGCTTCTGTATCTGCTTCTTCACATCCTGCATGCATCCTTCGCTGCTCTTACAGAGAGTTTCTCTCTCCCTTGCCACTTCCAACAGAGTCTAATGTTCTCTTTTCTGTGCATGACGTACACGGGATTCTTCTTCCTCAAAAAAGACTCGGGCACCTCTCCTCTACCCGTATGACACGTCTTTTCCAGTTACAACTTCTGTATTTCCCCCCTTTGTCGTGCTTATTCCTACCCTGAAATGTCACCAGGTTTTGAACCGCATGCATGTGAATACCTGATGCATGACATTTTACTGCAACCTTTCCGTGTGTTGCAACCGTTACGTCAGTCGTAACCGTTGTGTGCGTTGCAATCGTAGCTGTTCGTCACACCGTGACGTTTGTTTGAGGCATAGCATAAAAATGGGATTGGGTCAAGGCGCGCTCGCACCCGTCATACCTGTTGCTCGTATACAACCACAACATATCTATACGCTAAAACTTCCTCCTTCTTCCCGATTAAATCTACCACTGCCGCTCTCTTATCTTTTCTGACGCCGTCGACCTTCCTCCTCTCTTCAAATGAGGAATATTGCCATATGTTTCCACGGTCTTTCATTCACACGTATACCTCGTACACTTCCGACCTTCTCCTTACACTACCCTCTTACTGATTCCTCCCTGCCTTCACTCTTTGATCCCTTCTCCCCCGTTTCGCCATCTCTCGTGGGTTCTCTGCGCGTAAATCTTCCCTGCTAAAAACGTCTCTTTCTCCCCTATTTACCTCTCCGCCTCGATCTCTTTACAGCATTCCCACCAGATCGCTCATTCTTTCCTCGTGCAAAGGCTCCGGAGGCGGATACTCTTCCTCCCCCTCCTTCCCGCTCTCCCCCCCTCCCTCCATCCCTGCTTCGGTCGCCTTCGTTCGCGCCTCTCTGGAGGGTGTGGCGGGTAAGAGGCAAGGCAAGGCAAGCCCCGATTCCGGCGTTCCCAGCTTCCCCGCCGTCACTCTCTCTTCCTCCTCCACCTTTCTCTTCAAGTTGTTGTACAAGCGATGGAAGAGGACAGGGTCCCCCGCCTTCCGCACCGCCTCTACCACGTGCAACACCACCTTCGTTCCCTCCCCCTCTCCCTCCCCCTCGTCCTCCACCCGCCACAGCCGTACGTCCATCCGCACTTTTGCGGCCGTTAGGGGGACCAGGCACCGCAGGTGGAAGCCGGCACCCTCCGACTCCTCTTGCTGGGTATGCTCCCGTGGTTTGATCGTCGCCGACATGCGCATCATCAAGACGAAATGCAGCCGGTCCAAAAGCTCCTCCGAGTCGGACGCGTGGGAATAAAAGTACGTGTAGGCCTTCAGTCCTTTCTCAGACGGCAAAAGCGGGGCTTGTTTCCGAGTGCGTCCATCCCCACCTTCTTTCATACCCCCTTCCCCGCCCTCCGCCAGCCCCACCACCTCCACCTCGCCCTCCCCTCCACTCACGGACCGCCGGCGCGTCATGTGGTCCTGGAACATCACGTCGCTCCCACACGTCACGTCCGGGACAGCCGTCGCCACCGCGTTGTGGGACGCAAGCCCTGACATCCCAGGTCCGTCGGCTGTGGACGTTCCACGGGCCTGGGCCACTGCCGCGGCGGCGGCTTGAGATTCCTGTGCCTTGCGCAGTTTCTCGGCTTTCGCCTTCTCCCGTTCTTTTGCCTTCTCCCGCGCCACGTTTGCTTGCCGGGCCGCCATTTCCGCGTGGAGCTGGTCCGGCGTCAGGCAGGGACCGGCGAGCCATTCGGAATGCAGCACTTGCTCCGTACTAGGCCGGCGGGAAGGACAGGGCTCAAAAAGGGAGGACAGAAAGGTCTGGGCGGCCGGAGGGAAATGGGGGGCGTACTTTAAATGGGCCTTCCAAAACCGTTCCCAATCGTTCTCCAACAAGGCGTTGAACCACCAGTCCCCCCGTCGCGCCATTTGAAAGGGAGGGTTCCCCGCCAAGAGGATGAAGAGCACCACCCCCATCGACCACACGTCCGCTTTTCCCCCTTCGTAACCCTCGTGCTGTAAAATCTCCGGTGCCATGTACGAGCGAGTCCCGCACTCGGTCCGCAACACGTCCAATGGATCGGAACGGATGGCGGCCAAGCCAAAGTCGGCGATCTGCCGCGAGGGAGGGAAAGAAAGCGTACGCAAAAGGAAGGGCGGGCGGGCGACGGGGAGGGCGCGTGAGTGTGCTTGGTGACAAGAGAGAGTATATCGATGATGCATGAACATTGATCGATTAAAAACGCCCAGCCCCCCGTACCACGTCGTGTGGTCTCATCAACTCATGCCCCTCTCCCCCCAGGGCCTGCCTGTCTCACGGACCTTAAGTTGGAAAAAGGAGTCCAAAAGCAAATTCTCCGGCTTGATGTCTCGATGGTAGATGTTCCGATCGTGGCAGTACTGACGTACCAAGAAAAATAGAGGAGGAAAGGGTCGAAATGACGAAGAAGAGACCGTGCCTCTAAGATCTCCGCCTCATCCTTTTCCTCCTTCCCTCCCTCCCTCCCTCCCTCACTTTCTCCCTCCCTCCCCGTCGTCATACCTGCATGGCCCCAACCAGCTGCCGGAAGAGCGTGCGGGCTATATCTTCCCGAAAATAACCCGTATACATCATAAAATCGAACAATTCGCCACCCGCGGCGAGCTGTAAGGCCAGGGCAATCGAGGGTACCTGGGGTGGAGTGAGCGAAAAGGCGCGGGTGGTTGATCAAGGGAAAAAAGTTGACAGAGATAAGAGACTGTACTATTCCGATGATCCCCATCATGGCTTCGCTCCCCTCTTTACTGCTTGTTTTCGTCCTTCCCTCGCTTCCTCAAACCCTTCCCCCCTCCTCCCATTCTCCCCCCTACCTTGGTCCCATTTTTCTTCACGTAAACTGCGTCAAGCTCCACGTGCAAAAGCTCCAGAACGTTGGGATG